AGGGACTCCCCCGCCTCCTCCCCCGACAGGTGTACACAGGGAGGGGGCACACAGGTGACACCCCCCCAGCCTCGGCCTGGGGGAGGGACGCCCCCACGCCCTCCCCCCTCCCACAGGTGTAGGTCGGAAGCCGCGCACAGGTGACCGCCCTCCACCCCCCGGCCCAGGCGCGCCCCCCACTCAACTCTTCACTTTGCCGAAGGTGCCGACCCCCAGCGTGTCGCCCAGCACGTAGTGGCCGATCTTCACGCGCCCGTCGTGCTTCGGCTTCTCCGCCATCGTCCGCCGGCCCGGCCCTTCCTCCGCACGCCGCCGCCGCCGCCGAAGAAGCCGAAGCCGCCCCGGCTGAGCTGCCCCGAGTCACCGCCGCCGCTGGGGCTGCTGGCTACCCACAGTGCCGCGGGAGCGGGGGAGGGGGCCGGGGGGGAGGGGGGCGAGGAACCCCGAGGGGAGGGGCGAGCGCCGGGAGGGGAGGGGGAGCGCGAACTGTCAGGAGGACGGAGGGAGGGAGGGAGGGAGGGAGGGAGGGAGGGGGGGAGCGCGAGCCCCGGAGCGGGGAGGGGGAGCAGAGGGAGGGGAGCGAGGAGGGAGGGGGAGGGGGAGGATACAAAATAACCAATAAATACCAGGAGGAGTTAACAGCTTCCCCGGGCACCTCGCTCTATAATGCTGCCTTTTAAGATAACAGAACGGAGGAAAACCTAGCCCGGACTCCTAGGTTGTTCCTTCAGGGCTTTTCTTAACTCCCAGTTCTGACACCTCCTGCCCAAGGTCCCATCTGAGGCTAATTTGGGCAAAATCCTCCTATAGCTTACATCTGAAACGAGCTACTCGAAATCCAGACATTTAGGAATGTTGCTATTTTTGCATCCAATTGTGAGAAAAAAGTTAGTCAAAGAAATGGAGTCCTTCAATGCCAAGGCCGTATGAGGGAAGGGGTTGGAGAGGGGGGAGGGAAGGTAAAGACAGAACTAGAGCTGAGCTAATTGGGCTCATAGATAATTCTGAATTTTGTGGAAAGTGAGGCTGACTCAGATACTAATGAAGTGTGTGTGGAGGGACCTCAATGTCATTGAGCAGGCTATATCTCTTCGGAAATGAGACCCAGGTTTCTAAATTGACCTTTATGGAAAGAGCTAAATAAAGGGTCCCCAAAGCCGTAGCTTTAGGCTATTAAAGCTTTGGGATTGCCTATATTTATTAATAAAAAAGAATAGGACGCGACAGAGGAGTTCGTTGAAAAGCAGCAAGTTCAGTGAGATGTCTAAGTGTTTTCCAAACCATTGTTCATTCTTCTGTGCGGTGGGAGCTGATTACATCCCATAAATTGATCCTTATAAACTGGCCAGCGTGGCTTATTGTTTCTTATTTCTTTGTATGCAGAAAGATTATTTCAGAATCACTTTGCCTTGATGGCCGTGGAGAGAAAACAGGTAGTTCACGTTTTTAATTTGTTGATAAATGAGCTTTTCTTTGACTAAGGGTCACTCCCCCAGGACTCCAGGAAGGGACGAGTGGACTCATGCTTTACCTTGCCAATAAACAAGTGTCTTTTTAGAACAGTCGTGATCATTTGTTATCTAACATTCCTGGACTGCCTTATATCCTAGTAAGAAAAGTAGGCAAATGATCATTTTGTGTTGGCTCCCTTTCTTGGAGCTCTACCATGACAAAGAATCTAAAGTATATCATTTAATTGCTCTATGTTAATTTTTAACTAATTATGACAGCTGAAATGATTAAACACCTCTATTAGGACTGGAATCATTATAGGTATAACTTCTAAGGATCAAAGACTCAGAAAGATTAGAGGAAGTTCATATTAAAGGAACTTGAACAATGAAAGTCTAGTCCAGGGGTGGGGAACCTGCAGCCTCAAGGCCTCATGTGGCCCTTCAGGCCCTTTGACTGAATCTAAACTTCAGGCGGAAAATCTCCTTAATAAAAGGATTTGTTCGGTAAAACTTGGACTCAGCAAAAGACCACACCCAAGAATTTAGAAGGCTACACGTGACCTTGAAGCCACAGTTTCCCCACCCCGGGTCTAATCTGACCCCTTCCATTAAAAGCCCAGAGAGGGGGAATTATTTGCCCCAGGTCACAACAGCTGTTACGTGGTAGAGTAAGACTCAAACTCTGTCTCTTTGAAGACTCATTGGACTCCAAAGGCCCCGGGCCATCTTTCTTTTTTTTTTTCTGGCTAGGCAATGAGATTAAGTGACTTGCCCAGGGTCACACAGCTAGTAAGTGTCGAGTGTCTGGATTTGAAAGCAGGTCCTCCTGACTCCAGGGCTGTTGCCCTATCCACTGTCCCATCTAGCTGCCCCAGGGCCATCTTTCTAACACTCCACGTATCCAGCCCAACTCTCTCCAAGCCCCTTCTTTAACATCTGATGACTTGCCGAGTTCCATCTCTGATGAGGGAGCTGACAACTTCATGAGGCTATTCCATCAGAGAACAATCACATTCCAGAAGATCACTGGGTGACCAATCAATTACCCCATAGTTACTAAATTCCTCTGATGTGCCAGGTGCTGGGGATACAAAAACCCCTCCTTCTTCCCCCCCCCCAAAAAAAGTAAATAACCCAGTCTGCCCTTAAGGGTCTTTTGTTTGAAGAAAACAATACATGCACATATACTAAGTAAACATGCTGTAATCCTGGGTAGGCAAAGGTACTGACAGCTTAGAGAATCAGAAGAGACTTCTGTAGAGGCTAGAGTCAGGCTGAGCTTCAAAGGCAACTAGATTCAACTAGACAGAAATGAGAATAGAGGACATTCCAACATGGGGCACAGCCTGTGCAACGATATGGCGGTGGGAAATGGAGTGTTATGAGTAAAGCAGAGGAAAAGGGCCAATTTCACTGCACCATAGGCCTTGGAAGGGGGGAGGTTAACAAAATTACTTTGAAAAAGTAGGCTAAAGTCAGATTGTGAAGAGATTTAGTCACACAAATGAATTATTATTTGATTTCTAAGGCAATAGGGAGCACTTGAGTTTCGGGAGCAGAGGGATATCATAACCAGATCTGTGCTTTAAGAACATTCAAAGGACGGGCAGCTAGGTGGCGCAATGGATAGAGTTCCTGCCTTGGAGTCAGGAGGACCTGAGTTCAAATTCGACCTCAGATACATAACACTTACTAGCTGTGTGACCCTGGGCAAGTCACTTAACCCCAATTGCCTCGCCAAAAAAAAAAAAAAAAAAAAAGAACATTCAAAGGGAGAATGCAGAGACTTGAGGCAGGGAAACCACTTATGTTATAATCAATAGTCAAGGTCAGAGGTGATATGGTGAATAGAGAGATGAAGGCAGAAACTTCTCTTTCCTCATCCAACCTCAAATCAAATGAAATAATATCTCACAAAGCCCTTAGCCCAGTGCCTGGCACACAGTAGGACCAATATAAGTGTTTATTCCCTTCCCTTCCTCCAATCTCCCACACTTCCCTTTCTCAGAAGAGGCCCTTGCCTCTTGCCTCTTTACTATTCAATGTGAGCTCCCCCTTCTCCCATTATTGTCAGATCCCTCGGCTGTCATCTATCTTCCACTCTCTCAAAGAGGTCTTGGCTCTTTTTTTTTTTTTGGCCAAAACCAACCACTCTTTTTGTGTCCCTGATGCACTCCCCACCCCCATTCTCCAACAGATCACATCTTTAATCATCCCCTTCTCTCACAAATTTTCAACCTCTCCTTACCTGTTGGTTCCTTCTGTACTGCCTTCGAACATATCGTAGTCTTCCTCATCCTTAAAAAAAAAAAAACTTCACTGGACCCTACCATCCCCTGAATTATCTTTCTCTATCTCTTCTCCTTCCTTGGCCAAATGCCTTGAAAAGCTGGTTACCTCCCCTGAGTGAAGAAGCTCACCTCTCACCCTTTTCTCCATCTTTTACCAACTGGCTTCCCTCCTCATCACTCGAATGAAACTGTTCTCTCCACAGTTACCGAAGATCTCTCAACTGCCAAATCTGATGTTTTCTGGGTTTTTTTTCAATCCTCATCCTTCTTGGCCTATCTGCTGAATGTGACACTGTTGACCATTTCTTCCTGGATGCTCTATCCTCTCTGGATTTTCCTGACACTGATGGAAAGGCCCTTCTCACTCCTTTACAAGCTCATTAGTTCACTGTGGGTGTTCCAAACGGTTCTATTTTAAGCTCTTTTCACTCCTTCTAAGTAGCCTCATCAGCTCCATTGGTTTAACTGACATCTCTATTCAGATGACTCCAAGAACTATATATCCAGCCCAAGTCTCTTCCCTGAGCTTCAGCCCCATTATACCAATTCCCTATTGGACATTTCAAATTGGATGTCCAGGAGACATTTTAATCTCAACATATCCCAAATTGAAGGCATCATCTTTCCCCACAAACCCTCCACTCCTCCAAATTTCCCCATTTTTGTCAGAAGTACCACCATCCTTCCAACCTTCCAGGTCCAACATGTCCATTTCCCTTACCCTAGAGAGTCAATAAATTGCCAGATCTTGACATTTCCACCTCCACTCACACAGCTCCCACTTCAGTTCAGGCCTCATCCCCTAGACAATGTCACCTACCTCCTCATTGGTCTCCCTGCCTAAGTCTCTCCTGCTCCAGTTTGTACTACTTATTGCTGCCAAAGTTATTGTCCTTAAATGCAGATCTAATCATATGATTCCCCTACTCGATCAACTCATTGCCTCTAGGATCCAATAAAAACTCCCCCACTTGGTTTCCAAAGTCCTGTACAATCTGGGCCCCAACCTATGTTTCCAGATTCATGGGACGCTACTCTTCTTCCTGCACTCTTCAATCCAGCCAACTGGGCCTGCTTTCTCATTCCTCACACATCCGACAACCCATCTTCCCACTCTCCACCTTCGGACTGGGTGTCCTCCAACCCAGAATGGAATTCCCTTTCTTCTGACCTCTACCTCCTGGAATGCCTCTCTTTTAAGACACAGTTCAACTACCATGAAACCTTTCCTGATCTCACCAAGTGCCGATGTCTTCCTTCTCAAATTTCCTTGTATTTGACAACTTTGTCTATATTTATATTTATTCAATTTATACTATATATATTTGTGTGTATGTGTGTGTATGCGTGTGTGTATACACACCCACTTGTTGTCTCCCCCATTAGAATGTCCATTCTTGTGGATAGAGATTACTTCATTCCTTGTACTTGTATCCCCAATGTCTAGCCTGGTATCTGGCACACAGTAAGTGATTCATAGATATAAATAGTTAAGAGTAGGTGATTAATAAATATAATGTAAATATAGTAATAG